ATAATTTTTTTGTATTGGTCAACGATACTTGCATATTTGTCACGAAGGTTGACAATATATTGTTGTTCGTGTGTCACATCAGTAACGGTTGAAAAACTATTGATTGTATCCTGCATCAGTGAATCGAGATATTCCAGTGGATCGATCACATCGGTATCTTGATCGTCCCTCTTTTCTTCTTTGTATTCGTGCTAAAATTCCATTAATTTTTATTGAAGTATCTTTTGACTTTCTTTTCTCCTATCAATGTTTCGATATAATTTTACATTATGATGATAAGCCCTGGAAACTTACACTTTTCAATTTTCCACCTCTTCCAGTCATTGCTTCTCCATCATTACCGTTATTGCTTGTTAGAACTGTTTCATATAAGCATAGAAAAAGTATGAAACGATTAACTTCCATTATATTGCCTAAAAAAAAAAAACTTAAACAAGCTTTCGAATATTTTGAAAGAATCAATGAGATGAAATAACAGTCACGTTTTTCACGTTTTTAACGTGTTTGATTCACGTTTTAACGATCATTCTACGTTGAAAAAAAAATGTCCATTTGCGCCAAGAATTTATGTATATATATATATATATATAATGAGAAAAATCTTTGCTTTTTTCTACTACTTATAAAGCTGAATAATTTTTACATTTAGATAAAATAACTTATTATGAACTGGTTTCTAAAATGCTACCTGATTTAATCTTTCAAATATCCAGAAAAAAAAATTGTTCTGGATGAGAAAATAATCGTTGATGATCATAAATTAAAATAATCAATCGGATAGAAAGAAGCAAGCGATCGTAGCAATATGCTGTGTTAGTATTAACCACTATTTACTGATAAGAACCATTATTCCCGTGCTTGATAAACAAATGTTATCAATTGATTGCATCAAATGTCATAAATATTATAACAATCACCTAAGATCATCATATTTCATGTCTATTTGTAACAATCAAGAAATTTATATCAATTGTTATATTCCTTATATATGATGTGCAAATGCAGATATGAATTCCATCCTGTGAATTCATTGATTTATTGATCTGCCCCGATATTTCGCGTAATTTGAAAGGAGTGTTGGAAAATTTTCATTTTAATTATGCAAACATTATAATGATATTTGAGCATATGATTTGACCTTAATATCTTCGAGTGATTTGTCCTTATCCTGGAGAAAAGTGACCTTGGTAGTTGATTTAAATTAATGACAGACACATGTTTTATTTTTGTCCTTTTTATCCTTCAATTAGGCTGCTTACTCATATCATCATGCATATACTTTGCTTTTTTCAAATCTTCCGAAAAATGTCTCTTTATTTTGCTGTGACACTAAGCTCTACTGGTGCTATTGTATTGTAATCTTGATGGTCCTAGTTAATCAGTTTGAAAAGTAACCGTATAATTTGTAAATAGAGTTCGTTTTCATAAAATGATCATCGGCAAGTAACAGCATATGTGAATCATTGATAGTTTTAGTGCTGTAATCATATTAACTTACACCAGTACTCCAAATTCTTACTTCATTAATCTAATTAAATATCAAATATGATAAGATCAGATGTGATAAGATAATTTTGTCTTCTACAATTATATTTGAAATAATCTGTCTCAACTATGATTGAATTGTATGAGCGATATCCTATAGCGATATCGATACTTAGCTCCATTTATTAGCATAAGCGTACCTTTCTGTTAATTGTCATACAAAAACATCTGATTGCTCTATTTCCAGTATTATAGTAACAGTAAGCGGAAAATGGCTTACAATTAAATAACTTGTTTACATCCCAAACCACTTTGATTTAAAATCTGAGACATCAGTGATATTCATGTCATCTTTTATTTCAAGCGTTTATTATCATTTTACGTTTTTCAAGGAAAAACAAAAGTTTGCTAAATTTTAGTATTATTATGTTTTGAAAAGAATAGCTTGGATTAAACCATCTGATGATACTTCCTGATAAGTATCAGAATCTCTATCAGTACTCTACTTTTCACCACTATTGCAATTTCTAGTCTATTAATCTAATTGAACACCAGATGTCGCTTCTGCACTTGCAAAAGAGCAGTGCTTCACCTTTTGATATCTCCAACCTATTTACATACCCATATGCAAGTAATATCTAACTTACTGGTAAAAATATATGTTATGCAAAATGCAATCATTGAATTCTTAATGCCTTACTTTACACTTTAACATATAAAAATGAATTTTATTTTCTTTCAGTAACATTGAGATGACAAAATGTCTGATTCTCACAAAGCTGATTTTTGAGCTAAGTATTGATGACATGTCAATCTGTGGAATTTGCATTCCAAGCTTTGCTATATGTAACCTTTGACCTGATTAGTCCCACATTCAAACAAAGGTTATACACCATTCAAACAAAGGTCATACAAGGTTATACATTGATAAAAATTTTCATGTTTATTGAAATATCGATAATATGCGCATACCACAAAGATAGCAAAATATGAATGGCCAGGAAGCATATTAATAGCTACCTTCGCTTGAACTGGAATAATTCAGGAGATTTACGAACAAATGAGCTTCTTGTTCTTCTAGCAATCATTTAAAAATATTCGATTTAACGGGAATCCACAATTTAGGGATTTTTCGAATTTTTCCTGTTTTCTTGAACAATTTTTCCATTTTCTCAATGCTTTTTAACTGTAATTTCTTTCAACGATCTCTGATCTATTTTATATATTTTGAGAAAAAAAAAGGCACACTTTGATTTTCTAAATCCATCAGGAACCGATTCAAAACAGACAGATAGATGATGTACATGCAGCAAATATTAGAACAATAATGAAGAAGATTAGGAGGTTGATGTCTCTCTGATATAACCTTTTAAATTTGGGATAAGTTATACTAAATTTCATTTCATTTCAGCTGCTTCTTCTATGCCTGTCTATTTCAAATTAACTCCGTAAGCATTTTATCGTTACAAAGTTACTGCCCAATGACTTGTCACAAAATTGTAATTCATTGTGAATTCCCTTTGTGCTTAGATTTTGCTTAGCTTTCTTAGAGCACAACAAATTAAGGTATTAGAAAAACCGGAATGGAACCTGAATGACAATAAACGGTGGCAGAAATCTGCATCGTTTTCGGCTCACTCTATAGAACAATGCAACGGTTGCTGTAGTAGCTGCTAAACGATTTCATGTCAGAATAAATCAAAATAGCCCAGATGAGAGAGAGCCATAAAAACGAGAAACATTGTAAATGTGCCTATTGCTCTTATTGCAGGTTGAAAACTTATTCAATTATATTTGATTGGATATCTTTGTATTGGAACATACCGAAACGCTGAAACTGATAAGGTTAGGGAGACGAAGTATACCTGTAATTACAATTGGTAGCAATAAATTTTGTTCGTTTATTACTCCAATGTTCTAATTTTAAAAGTTAACATTCAGGATTTCTTTTTTTGTTTACTTTTCTATAGGAAGAAGTGTTCATGTGCTAATAAGAGTATCACAGATTTATGATTGGTATTGAAGTAATCATTAGAAAGATGAACAAATATGAGTTTAAATCAATTTTTGGCCTAGGAAGGAAGATTACTTCAATGGTGTATCAAGCAACAAATACATTTATAGGATCGTGATGTGTATAAAGGAATTGTGGCAACAGTGGTACCTTGGAAGTACATTTTTCTCCTTTACATCTAACCTTCACCACTACGTACTACTTTTTTGATACTTAGAAAATTATACAATTGATTACTTCAGTTCATTCACTCATTTAAATGTAACACATACTGTACGTATCATCAGAATCATCAACATTATTTACTCTTCTTTACTTTGTTTAAATTAATTTGTCCATTATGGAATTTCGACTCTCTCCTCTGTATTGCATATGTGGATTGTCTATTTCTAAGAGTGACCTTCTTGTTTTGACCGTTGTATAGACGGTAAATAGTACATTTTAGCATGGAATCATACTTAAAAGTATGTTAAAAATTAAGAATGCATCTTTTAAAATGTTGTTTATTTTAATGCAAACAAAACGATTACCATATTACTGATAACTCTACCAATTTATCAAAATAAAACATATTAAATTTTCGAATTTTTAAATTCAAAAAAAAGTTTGACAGGGGTTGAACTAAAGATAAAAGCTGACGATGTGACTTTTTGTCTCGTTTAAATTGTTTCTGAAGTTCGAGTTCCAGTTTAAATAAGTCACTTAAAATTCATAAATCATCTGAGATATCTCACTAGAAGTTCCCAGAGTAAATTTTATGTGAACTATATGCAAAATAATTAATGTACATACAAAAGTAGAGAAGGAACGAAAGAGATTTCGGATATAAAATCCCGTTAATTTCTTAAATTAAATCAAAGGGTTCAGTTTTTCATAGTCATTCTTTATCGATTCCTTTCTTTTCTTCCTTTCTCATCGCCGAAAGATTTCTAATGGAATGCGGAAATACCTGGATACTCCTGACTAGGGTTCATGGTAGTTATCGTAAAATTAATTTTTTCTTTTTAAAATTTTTAAACGATTAATTCAAGCCTAACACCTGAAACGAAGCCAAAACGGACATTAAGGACAAAGTGCAAAAAGTTGAAGTTTTGAAATTACAGACTGGCAAGATAAAATTAAACTATATAAGAATAAGATCAGTCAATAGTACATCCTTATTTCTAGGTCAACATTGTATTAACATTGTCAACCATTTTGTACGAATGGTGCAACCAATAACTTGCAATGATTGCATGATCTAACCAATAACTTGCAGTGTGGATTTTTCAGCGATGGACTTCTGAGCTTCTGATCACTTCCAAATTTGTTAAGAATGTCAAACAAGCAGTCGATAAATGTTGTAATATACACAGAGATAAAGCCAAGCTATGGAAGTTATCCAGGATAGCAATCTATTTCTGTTCCCTGCATTGTTCAATTGACTATGCTCTCAAGAATTCATGTAACTTTTAAATGCCTCCAAACAAGACAATTGATCTCTCGACCATTATTTATTTATCCGAATCCATTTAGAGAAATGCATATTTTCATCCCTGCTTGATTTATCGAAATCAGGTATTCAGCCATGAATCAGCTATGGTTCAGCGGTCGAATAATATTGAAGTAGTTTCAAGCAAACCAACAAATCATGGTTATCAATTGACTAGCAAAGATTAAATCTTCCCAATAGCTTACAATTAACTTAAAAGGATCAGACTAAAGCGAATGATTGGCTTTTAACAATTTATACCACCAAATGATGCGCTCTTAAATAGAAGAAAGCGTTAGACTACTTGATAATGATAGATTTTGTTTCAGTAGTTTGATATCTGTGAAAAAGAAAGGTATTTGAAAAGTGAAGTTTGCACTCAAAGCATCAACCTGAAATGTAATCCAGTTTAAGACTTGCATCTTTCATCTGACAATGAACAAAAGGATAATAATGACATGAGCAGGATTCAGATGTCTATTATTTTCAGCTCAGTTAATGCAACCGGAAAATGAAATTTACAAAAAAGCTTCCTCTCTCTTTTCTCTCATATTACCATGGTGATAACGGAAAAATACGCGCTAATGTCTTCTCCTCTTCCTTTCTTTTACTAATATTTGATTTAGATCATGATATTAACTCATCCGATCTAATGAATCAATAAATTGCCATGATGAGAAGGTTTACAGCAGATAAACACATACTGATGGGAGAATGTTATCGAGGAGCTCACTGAGGTCAATTCCTTTTTCAACGGGAGATGCAACAAAAGACCGACCTGCAACTGCAAGTTGTACTGCTCACAGAAACTTTTTTTCCGAGGTATAGAACGGTCATAAAATAATCAAATTACAAAATAGTAAACATCATTAAAATTTATACATTTATTCCACACTATTCCGCATATGACTCAGTCTATAATCAAAGTTACATTTGTACAACTACGATTACAAATATAATCTGGTAATCTGTATATTGCAATTGCAAAGAAATCTCGGTCCATTCCCGTTCTTCGCATTACTTGACTTACCAAACTGATTCTGATTTATTTCCCGTACATCTTAAACTTGGTCAAATTAAAATAAACTAAATATAAAGGAGTAGGATATCTACAGAATCTATCCGATCCATTTACCTTTTGATTCAAGTTCTGATATAAGTCAACTAGCAAATAAAAAAATCAAATTCTATAGCATTTGAAAAAAGTAAATAAAAGAAAGTAATTACGAATTTGGATGATACAAAAATTTTCCATTCTATACTTATACAAAATTTCTCCAAATGTTAGATTGAATAGACTTGGAACTTGAAAAACTCCATAACTTTAATAAAACTCATGTCATTGAAGTAATTCATACGTACGATTATTACGTAAACAAGACTATGGCAAAGTTTACATTGCTCGTTATAGACTGATAAGATCATTTCAAACAGGTTGCTGAAATAAAGGTTTTCATGAGGTGCCCATCAAGAAGATATTCGTGCAGTGGCGTAACGCGAGTGACGATTGGAACACGTCGACATAAGTAATTTGATGAATTGTCGGAATGGGCTGTATCTTTTTGCTTTTGTTTGTGTTTCTCGTCGATCTCACCCGCCATTTTCCATTTCTCTCGGGGATTCGGTATTTCCAAGAGGAGAAGGGGAAGGCATTGTTTATAATTCACTGGATTTTGATAAAATCTCAATTGCACATTGTTTTCTTTTACCATTAGAAATGACCTTATACCTATGAGATATTTAACTAATATGTCTAACATCTAAATCGGGAGAAAACTTGGATGATGTGTATAATCTAAGTGTATCATTTCCGATTGCTGTATAATATAAGATGATGTTGCCAATTGGAAACGAACTGTGATATCAGGCTGAATTTCAGTTCGAATTTGAATTTGATCTTTGGATTTCTGTGGTAGTGTGATGTCAAGTACGCTTTCATGTATTTGATTATCTATTTTGCTGTTGATAAAAGCGATGTGTGAATCTTACAAATTCGTAGATTCAAGTTTAATGTTCCATTCCACTGAGATTTTTAATGATGGTGGTTTATTTCAAATTTACTTTAATTAATTTTTACTACAAGTGCATATGTAAAGGTCACAATGCTCAAATTTAAATTCAGCGTCGTATTTTCAGTTACTATGAATTACTGATTTTGAAATTTATTCAGGGGTGCTGTAGGATGTGGAAACGAAAAGAAGCTCACTCTCTGTACTCATTCATTTCCTTCTAAGTTTTATTTCGATACTTAAGATTACTTTGCGATCGCAATGAAGATAATGGTTGTCGTTCACTTTGTTAATGTAAATGTTAGTTAATTAAATATAATTTCATTTCTCTTTCAAGTTATTTTTGTCTACTTTAGTTTAGAGGGATCATTTTTTATGAGCTTAAAAATATATCTTGCTGCTAAGTGCCGTCGCAGTAGATCTTCCAAGTACCTTACTTATGGTCATTCATCAACCAAATTCCCCACTGCCAAGAAAACGAAAGAGGAAAAAACTTGTTTCTACAAACTCACTTTTATCGAACATTGGTTGTATTTTTGTCAGATTGTAGTAATTTTCTTTGTTTAGTAATCAAGGTTTCCCTTGGAGTATACTTTTTTGTGAAAATATTAATATTTGTTCAGGAAAGTGGTTTTTTAAGGTAATTATATGGTTAGTAGTGTTTTTGCAATTAACTTCATCGATAGGAACAATCGCAAAGAAAACAAAATTATGTGGCGATGAAGCTTGTTCAGGTGATTACTTTTTCCGAACTTTCCGAAAGATCATTTTGTAGATGGGCGGGATTTGACTATAAGTTGCGAGGAGGAATTTCGAACTTCGAACTAATCTCTCGTCTTCGTCGGAAGAATTGGCTTGTATATTTTCGAGTCAAATACTATTAATGCACCGTAATAGATTTGCTAGTAGTTACAAGGAGCTTTTCCATCGTTTTTCTCTCGAGAAATCATTTTCTTGAAATTTTTAGGCTTTCGGAATTTTTTATGTTAATAGTTGCTGAGTGGTTTATTAGCAGTTTTGCAGCTTGGTATTGAAACACATTGAATATTTTTTTCCTGCATTTTCAATATCAGTTTCAGTTCCTTTCCATTTTTCTTCTTGCTCTGATTTTGAAATTTAGAGAAGTTATTCGAAGGAAGGTTTCATCGCTCATCGTTAGCTACTCACGAGTCATTCCTATCGCCCAATGAAAATGATGTTGTCAGTGTTTATGCAATTAAATTCAGTGATCGAACGGATTTAATGGAAGGCGCTGTAACTTTTCGTTTACTTTACATTAGTTAGTAGACAATGCTTTGGTCGCAACTGTTCAGTCTTTAAGAATAGCGTATCTTTCGGTTTCTTTACCTTAGTTAATAGACAATGCTTTGATCAAACTAACACTATAAACAGAGTGTGTGTTATTGCCTATTTCAACTTGCTGTAGTTTTTGATTCACTTATTTACAGCTTGTCCGTGAACCAGCAAGGAAAGGACATTTTTTCTCGATGCATATTAATCTCGATGATTACGTGGAATTCCTTAAAAATGCAGTTGTATCCAATAAAACAATGTTTATGGTCAGTAGAGATCCACGCGATCATCCTTCTCACAGATTAGTCGGTAATCAATAATTTCCAATCTTCTGGGATCCTTTGAGTTTGTTTTAACTTTTATTCTTATCGAAAGATCCGTAAAATGTTACTTTATATACGGATGCTTTAAGGTAACCTCTGATCTGTCTTGTCGATATTCTCATTGAAAAAATATTTTGAGGTGTCAAAGCAGCTCTGCCGGAATTAATTAAAGATTATGAAGTGAATGCCAAGCGTCTTTCTGATGAAAGACAGTTACCAGCAGAACAAATTGACTACGCCGCATTGGGATACTTTTCCGACTCCGAAGGTTTCCTTCCTTTTTAAATTCAATGATTCGAATTTTGTCTGAACTGGTAAATAAACTATGTTTGGATTTTAATAATTTCATCATAGTTATCTGCAGAACCAGTAGGTATATATAGTCTTTTTACCAGAATTGCTTTTGCAATTTGAGTTTTCTAAAAGTTGAATGGTATATCCTAGCTTAATCTTCAGTTTCTGGTTGGAAGTTGATTCACTATTGTTTAAGGATATCTGCGGGCTGGGCTGAACTTATTTTTCTTTTAATCGGACTGTTTCGCATTTATTAAGGGCATGGACATTCACACGGTCATGGGCATTCCCATGATCACGGACTTTCTCATGAACACGAGCATCATCATGACCACAACATGCACACACATTCGCACGAACATATCCGAACTGTGCAACAAACAACTCAACCTATAATCTCTTCTGAAAAAATAGTACGTTTTGTTTTTTTTCAATCGTTCACTGCTTCCTTTATTTAACGATTCATAAGAAAACTATAGACTTTGATTAAGAGTGGCTTGTAGAACATGAGAAGTATATCAGCTGCCTTTCATGCCCCTGAGTATTGTTTGTAGCAGTTGCTTTTGACAATTTTCATGGAATGATGCAGAATTTGTTATGATGAGGTTATGAGTCGAAAACGCTTATGCAAAGTTTCCTAAAATGAGCTTGCTGTGGTAATCTAGCTTCATATCATTCCGCTATCTTGCTAATTTAACAACTATACGTAATATTTCAAAACTTTTACAGCTATAATGCATGCTCGATATTGCTATATCAGTTCCTTGATGAGATATGTAAGATGTTTATTTTATGTTAGTAATTGAAGCATATATTCCAGACAGTTCCACCACTTCCAGCAATGAATGTTCCAACGAGTGAACCGAAGGAGATACCTACTGTAACAGTCAATTCAGTCTCTCATCAGGAGGTTCAGGATCTACATGTATTTTTTTTTTTCGTTTGTGAATGGTTGAGCTTCTCCAATGTTTGTAAATTCTACTAGGTACTAGGTATAAGCTGGATTTTATATGCATCATTTATTTATATATTATTGTTTTAGATGCCTCTTCTCAACCCTGAATTGAATGTCGTACCAGAGATCCCTATATCGCAAAATCAAAATCTAATGCAAGAACCTGCTTCTCCTATGTTGCTGTCAGACGCGGGATCGACTTTAAAAGTCATTCCTGATGTTTCTGTAGTGCCTGGGCTTCCTTCAGTTGTGGAAGAATCGTCAGCTCTGTCTGAAGATTTGCCCCCATCTGGCACAGCTGATATCAGTTTTGCAGACGAAGGTAATCTTCCACATATCGAATCATCGCAGGAAAAAATATCATCAACCACGAACGTTGTGAACACACAGTTGCTTACACAACCTCTTCAATCGATGTCTATGCAACAAGTTAATATGAAATTACCTCACTCGGTGGTTATGACTACTCCTGCATCAGTTGGAGTTCTTGAGTCAAATCTCCCCCCCACTCCGGATAATATATCACAAATTAATTTGCCTCCTTCCTCAGTCAATTTACCCGTACCAAATGTTCCTTCGCAAACCGATGTCCCTCAACCAACTCCTTCCCCGCACTCCGTAGCAGTGGGATCAGATGAAACACTACCTGTACCATTAGAAACTGCGCATTCAGATTTTCTTCATGTATCTTCAGCACCACCGCCTTCTCCAACAAAAAACCATATTGCTATATCGAAAGGATCATCTCTAAGTGATACTACAGCAGTCCTCACAGATAATGGTGTTTTGTCTGTGTCCCTTTCTCCTCATACGGAACCAGCGGTAGCCACCTTCTCTGCTTCACGGTTTGATCCAGTTGTAGTACCGTCTGAGTCCGGTTCTGCAATGAAAAATGAGCCCAAGCTGGAATCAGAGGAAAAAGAAACAACGATAATTAACCATCTGCTTGAATCACCACCGTCTTTACCTATTACTACCGTGCTACCTCATGATTCAGTAGGTTCTCAGGCCTTAAATCCATCATCAACTGATGTTATCTCACAACATGAACAGGTACTCAATTATCTATATCACAGTTTAATTTTTCATGTTTATGTTGAAAACTTGATCACAGCGTATGAATTAACCGAAGTGGATAATGATGGAAATTTTTTTTTAGTGCGATTCTCTACGTTTTCTGAATTACATATCGTTTTACGGTATTCTAATTAATTAAAGATATCCAGAACTCATCAAATGTTTAGAAGCTTCTATGTTCTGAAATGTTCGAAAATTTTGTTACAAGATGTTCACTTTTAATTTTAAGCACATTGCTGCACTATTAGCGGAAGAAGCAGGTTATGACAAAAGCGGATATTTAGATCAAAAAGGCATTTTCCTACTACTTATCAGTCGTGTTGGAGAAAATAAGTTACTCGGTGTTTTGCTGTAGAACTTTAATGAGTGATTTTCCGGCGACTTTTTATTGTACATTTTATGGAATTCCATCAGCTATTTTCTCTTTATTTGAGGAAGCACAAAAAAATCCTAAGGCAGAAATGGACACGGAGCGAGGAGATAGCAATGGACTTGTACAAACAGAGGAAGAAGTGAAGACAGATATTACAGAGGAAGATGGATTAGTATGCTAATTTTTCACTAACTTAGAGTTAACGAATAAATTCAAAATCTTATATATGATCACTGGTCACATTGGTCACTGAATGACCTGCAATGCGGCGAATATGTTTCCCATTGAAGGTGTGGGGCGCATTATAAATAGAAAAATAGTCTCGGCGAAAATATAAGATGCACTGGTGAACATTAATTATTGACTGGCGGTGTTTAGCTACGCAACGATTTACGTAACTTTTAATAAAAAATAAGCAGTGATGCAGTTTTATGTAATGTATTATCATTTGTTTGAATGGTAATCGAGGTTTTCTTGTTGTACTTTTCTTCTTTTTTAGGGCTATTGCATAAAAGGTGAATGTGACAAGGTTTACAATACTCCTATAGCTGATGAAAAGTCGGGGGCAGGATATTTATTTGTGATTAGCAGATGGCTCAGCAAATTGATTGATATTGCACGTTATATCCTGCCGTCATCAATCAGTAACATTGACGATGCAGGTACTGCTTATGTGATTAAGCTTAAATGATATCTTAAGTAATAAAAGCCATTTGTGTTTGGAACCATCGGCAAAGTGAGCAGTGAATGTGGCTTTGAATGTTGGGTTACTAAACTCCATTTAGGAGACCACTCCCTTGTCGTTCTAGGTGTTTAATTTTTATTCGTTAAGATATGGTCTTGTTTTCTTGTTCTATTGGGATCTACAAAATTAAGCTATTTCATGTTTTTTTAATGTACTGTCGTGGTAATTCTGTTAATACCCTATCATTCAATCGTTTTTTTGATAAATATTGTTTTTTTGTAGGAGTTTTGGTAACATTTTTCGTTCCTATTTGTTTATTGACTCATTTACTACGGATGCTAGTTTTTACGGATACTTCTGATAAGGATAATTTTGATCGAAGAATGCTACATAATGCATTGACAACCATTAGACAACGTGAAATACAGATAAAGGTAAATTGTTGCATATATTTTCCCGTAGCTTTTTCTGTGTGATTTAGAAATTTTTGAAAACTTGATTTGTGAGAATGTTTGGGAATTTTTCTTTTTCTGTGAAAAATATTTCTTTTTTTTTCTCAATATGGTATTTATTAGCCAGCATAATACTGCGGAGTCGGAGGAATCGTCAAATTGTTCGTTTGTGGAAATATCAAGCGCTTTTCATGTTTTTGTCCATTGATGCAGACTATGGGTCTCTGTCAGCAAACATTTTCATGAAATGATAGGCATAGAATTTCTCTTTGTTGATCATTTTAATCGGGTGATGTTTTAGTTGTTGCATGCTGAAATGGAGAAAGGGAAAAATGCATGGGATACTGAAATGGACGAGAAATTCAAAAATTTGCAAACAGAAATGAGTCAGTTGAAAGCTAAGTATGCATGCTTACTTCATATTTTTGAGAGATGAATAAGGAAACTAGCACTTTCAAGTTTCGTTGTTGTAGTTTTGGCTTTCAGAATTTTATTGTGTGAAAATAAGCTACAATACTGTCTTATAGGTGTCATATGCTTGAAGAAGAAAATGATAATCTGAAAGCAGAAACGGATGAGACGAGTCAAATGGTTGAAAGAGAACGTTTGAAATGCAGAGATTTAATAGAGCAAAATAGAAATCTTGCTGAGAAAAATGAGGTTTCCCCTTTTTTCTTTGTAAACGTAAATGGATAACATTGAAGATAGCGCTTGCCACTGAATGAATATTAGGTGCCGGGGAAATTCTAGACTTTCCTAAACTGTCACATATGTTTCGAAACTCGGAAAAGACTTTTCTTTTACTATTTGCAAATGAGAGTTAAAGAGTTGATTTCTAAAGCTGTAACTAAAATAACTAGAAGACTTGCGATTCACACAAATTCTGATTTTTGATCATCCAGTGGCGTATTTTAAAAAAACATACTTTTAGTTGCTAATGAAACAGTCATCTGAAATACATACCACTGTAGAAGTGTTGCATCAAGAAAATGAACGTTTGGTTAATGAAGTTACCAAAAAGAGTGCACAGTTAATACGTCTTGAATCGGAAGCAAATTCACATACGCTGGAAATTAAAAATTTGAAAGATCAGTTAAAAGTAAGAATTGGCGCATTATGCTCCTTTTAATAAATTTTCTGCTGTGTTATGGACTACTAATCCTTTAAGAATGCATTTATCTTTATTCCAAGAGACTACATGACGAAATTGTTTATTACCTTGCCTGGTGAGCCGTCCTTTTCAGTGTATGATGTTGACACAAAGAAAGTCAAATTTTCGTAAAGGTTTTTGACGATATACTTTTGCAGACATCCGTATCAGAAAGCAAAGTACTACACCAACGTGTGGAAGAACTTCAAAATGAGATTGTTCAGTTGTCGGAGATTATAAATGAAATACGTGATTCGGATAATGCTGTTCATGATCAGTCATCAGCTGCTGAGGGAGTGAATGGCGAACAATTACAGGATGATCTAAACGGTTAGGTTTTTTCTTGCCTAGTTCTAATTCGATGGACTATAAAATCATTCTCAAGGGGTAGACTGAAATATTCCAAGAGCATTGATAATGTGGAACAATGACTAAAATTTCTCAAATTTTATGCTCTGATATACTGCTAAGATTACTAATTTCTCGTTAGCATTTTCGTGTCGTTTATTGTCATTCGTTTATCATCGATTATGCATATTCTTCCATTGTCATTTGGATATGTTAGGTATAGTTGGTTCTCTATTCGGATATAGCCTTATGTTAATCATCTCACCTGATAACGTTCAAATGTTGGTGTTACTTTTCACCTATTAGCTGGAAAAATACATGGGTTCAAAGAAACACTTTAACTTAGGTATATGAAGTGCTTGTATAACGAGAAATGAAAACGATATAACGAAAGTAGAACTGTAAAACGTTAGTGTATGATAAATTCTGAAAATTTGTGGTTTTTTCCTTATTTGTGAAGTTTGTTTAGGTGGAAATGGAAATGGTTGGTCAGATTTTGATGAATTTGATATAGACAATCCAACAACAGCAGAAGTACCAGTAAGACCTAAAAAAGATCGTGTAGCGGTTGCACGATTTTCATCTGCTGAAATTATGGAAGTTGCGAAACTCAGAGTGCAGTTAAAGACTGTTGAGGCTGATTTTGATCAAGCAAAGTATGCCGAAAAACTATGATTTTGACTGATAGTAACAACCATTGCAAAGTTCTTGAATAGTAAAGGACATAGTTTTCTTTCCTTTTCTATAGTCTTTTGGTTATAAGATTAGCATTTTTTTGCGTCTTAGGTGGCTGCAATTTCTCTCTCGCCTTTTATAAAGAGGAGCTTCCAGTTCTGCCACCTATACAGCTTTTTGACGAGTAGCTAATATGAGATTTTGTGAACTTTATACTAACGCAGTAGCTTCTCCAAATATTTTTAATTTTCCGACTTTTATTGAAAATTATCTGAAAATGTAGATCTTGTATCCTATATGCAGCCACATAGTAGCTGGTTGATTACAGTTAAATTGTTCCATGGAACTGTTTTTCATGCTACCTTTTTAGCTCATAATATTACCGCTGTAGCATTTATTGGGTTTAATACTCTGCTGGGTGATTTTACTGATGCAGTGTAATTCTCTTTATGTTTCATGCGGTATGATTTAGATTAACACTACAAAAGCAGCTAAATGAGCGAGATCATTTATTGCGTAAAGTTGAATTTGCCGAAGCAGAAGCTATGAAACGATCGAAAGAAGTGGAGGCAAAGGAAGCAGAAAGAATTGAAGCGCAAAATCAATTCAAAAGAATTTTAGGGATGGTCGAAGAACGAGTAAATTTTTAATAAAAGTGGATTAAAACACCAACTGTAATATGCATGTAAGCGGTTATTTCAACCTTTCTGTTCAATTAAAGGAAGCGAAATTACGAAGTGCCGAAGAACTAACAGAAAAATTGCGTAGTGAAATAATGAAATGGCAAGAAGAAGTAAGACAATTGGAAGACCAAAAGAAAACTGTGGAATTTAAATTACTGGTAATTTAGCTAGTTCACTTTTTAAAAATTCCTAAGATGTAGCGCTTGGTATGTTTCTCTTGCCCATGTTTTCTCGAAACATACATCTGATGATAAGGAAAAAGTTATTTCTGCACTGTGCATTTCTTTTTTTCTTCGCATGATTTCTTAAAGCTAATGGTAGTAGCATTACTCTTACACATCCTTTTTATGGTCTCTCTTTTTAGGGATTGAGATTCTTTTGGTAGAAATAATGTAAAATTTATCTGTGAAGTAGGGAAAATAATGATTTTGAAATGAGGTATACGAGGAAATTGAATGTGTCCTTCAGTTTGAAAAGTCAGATTTCGATTATTCATATGTTTCCAAAACTTCTGTTTTTATAGGAAACTGATCAAGAACTGAAACGTTTGAAGGCAGAATACGCCAAGTTGGAGACGCGTAATTTCCATGAAATACGTCAGTGTAAGCAAACGATAGCAGCTTTACAACGGCAGGTCTCGGATTTTTGATCCTTTCATTCATCTTTTTTCGAACACTGCTTTGTTTACAAATGGCTTGCTTATGTGACAAGCAGTGTTGTGATTTTCTCGAGCGAATTAAGTTCTCTGCCATGCGTTTGTTTGTCATTGAATTTCATTTATTTGCTATTTGGAATTGTTGTAGATGAGGAATGAAATTACAGTCATTGGAACAAGTTCATCTGTCAAATCCATCATCAAATGTGCTTGATAACGCTAATATGTTGAATATGTCGGCGTCGTCATCATCAGATCGTGATTATGGTGCATCAGTCAGCAGTGGCCTAGTTGCACCATCGTTATTATCCCATGTACGACCTTTGTGGGATGACGAGCCACCCGAGGTTTGCTTGCACATAAAATTTTGAATGAATCAACGTTTTCGTTTGAATCAACAATTTTGGATGTAATAACAGTTTAATGGAAGATGGGGTACTTTCGTGCGACGAATGAACTTTTTTAAAAAAATAATATATACCAACAACGAAAAGAATTAGAGTGAAAAGAGGGAAGTGAAAGTTGAAATATGGTTTCTAATCCAGAGCCTCCTCTTAATCTATTTCTCTGTAGATTTCTGTCCGCCTACCCTTTTTCAGTAGTTCAATCTGCCTTCTACACAAGCGTATCCAATATACATAGGCGTGTCCATAAATGGAACATGAAAGGGGGATTTCTAATCTTCTGCTTGTAAATAGAGTTTAATTTACTGGCTCGTAGGGAATTTTACGTATGTCATGGCTTTGTTACAGATTTTTTCATCTCATGGAGAATCGTCCGTATTAAAAAAGGTAGATCCCCCGCTAAATGATGTGACACCAGAAAATGGTAATATCAGCCACAACAGAGAGTCGAAGCAACGAAGAAGTATTAGGGAACGAGAGCATAATATTGGTGTAAACGTAGATGGTATACAATCACGTCATAAGAAGGTGGGTTTGTTTTATCAGTTTTTCTACTTGGAAGCTAATAGGGAATGCTATAAGACTGCATAGATGACGACTCGATTGCAAAAGTCATAAATGTCCCTCTTGTTTAATTAAGTTCGTGTTGATTAAGTCAAAAAGCTTTAGATCTGGATCCTCAAGAGTAGAATTTATTGTAGCTTTTGTTAACTGTTGATTTATTTATCGTCTGCTTCCCGTTTTTGAATGATTTTTTTTGTATTATAGGAAGGTAGGAGGATGCGTTCACGTTCACATGGTCGTCATCCTTTTCGTACGGATTATGTTCCAATCTTGGGTATGCCTGGATATCCAGGACCTTCCGCAGATTTTTGTGCTAGCACAATCCTCAATAAACAAAATAGCAAAAGTAGTATGCTGTATTATTCGTCCGGTGGTTCAAATGATGGCCGTTCGCCTCCTCCAGAAATGGCACTTCTTTCGGGTATCCCCCCTCCGGGCCCAATGATCAAAAAACCAACGCCACGGCCAAAAAGTTTGTTTTTGAGTAAAGTTGCTTTTCCAATATAAGTTTTTTATATGTAAAGCAGAGATTATTTGGCTTTCTGGATTAGTGTGTTTTTTTTATAACTCAGGTCACTAATAGTTTCAGCAATGTTGACCATTGTTTTAATCAAGTATGCGATATAGTTTAAAATAACATGCATCATTTTACATCTCGGTGTGTGTCGATATTTCTTTTTCGAGTCCATATGCATTATTTTCCAATTTTTTCTAATCAAAAAGTTTTCGATGTATATCTATAATGAGGAGCGCGATTTCGTAAAGAGATCGTTATAAAAAACTTTTATATGTGTAATTCGAAAGATACAAGATTTTAACCGTCTTGTTTTTCAGGTAGCACTGAATTACTGTAAAGGCGTTAAAGTTAATATCTCGTGCAGAAGATCTGTATGTTATATAGCTTCCTTTGGAGTCTTTTTCGTGTTATGGGAAACATTTCTTTTTTAATTTTGGAAAAACATCATTTGGCTTCAAAGTGGAGAACAAACGTACTGGGCTATGGATAAGAATGTAGTTTTGTCTGTTTGTATTTCAGTTTTTCTAACTGTTTTGAGACTGTGATCATAAAACTTTTGTTGTTTTTTCCATAAAATTTTTCGCTGTCTTCCGAAATATTGTTATTTAACTGTTGACATAAAAGTAATCCTACCTGTCCTTATTGGTGCTGGTACGAGTATAAAATTATCACTTTTGTTACACGTTGATATCGCTTTAACTTCTTGCATTTTTCTTCGACACAGCTGTAACACAACTGTATTGCAGTTTTACTTCATTTCTTTCATATTTTTATCATCCATCGTCCTTGACTGTTTTAAAGAACTTGCCAAAATTTTGCGTGTGTAAAGAATGCCTTGTCTATTTTCATGAAGTGCCGCAGTAGTGGAGGCATCTCTACTGATGTCAATTCCTTTAAGAGATCATATTTATAATTGATGCGAACATAAAACAACATCTATAATCGTTAAACATTTAAGACTCAATTATACTTTTTTGTTTCTAAACTTGTACGGTAAAGGAAATGGAGCGGTAGGAAAAAGTAGGATTTGAGAAAGAGATGGGAGGGACGTCTCAGTCATTCTGATATACTCCCATATGTCGATTAGGACTACAGCATCTCTTCAATGATAATACTGTGGAGAAACTTTCAGGCTATGTTAAGAGAATATGCTCAAGAAAATGCCCACTAATTCTGGAAGATAACCTTGAGACGCCAGTAATTCTCTGCAATTCACAAACTAATCCTGTTGTATATTTTGTTTACCTGTATACTCGTCATTCCAAGTCATAAAATATTACAAGCTCTAAATCAACGAATTTTTTGAAAAAAAAATCTTCTAAAAAGTAGGAAGAAATAACAAGACTACGAAATACAGCTCATAAGAAAAAAAGAAATGGCATGTGGGAGATTTCTTATGCTGTCGTTGTTGTGATTTATAGTTTACGTTCTTCAAACTTGTTGCTTCTATTATTTTCAGGTTTCGTATTTTGATTACCATATTTTGAATGCCAATAACCAAAAATATATACTGGTATTACTACAAAGAAAAGATCCATTTAAAATTAAAGCTCAATGTTCTTTCAATCTTGCCCAACATATTTAGTGATATATCTGGAAGTTCTGCACCCTTCGGAAATATTACGAAATGTTATGTACCTTCCATTTTGATTATATAGAGAACAAAGATACATAGACAGTCTTCCTTCATTTCAAATGTTAACCTATAAAACCAACTATTATGCGACTAGCCTAATAGTAAGAATAGGACGTTACAGCTTATCGTGATATTTTTCACAATTTTCGAGCTTTTTAAAAGTTAATGCAAATGAAATTCCACTGAAAACATCTAAAACTACAAGTAGATTATGATAGTAAGGAAAGATGAGAAAATTGTCTAACATAGAAGATTGCCATAATCAATTAAAGATTGTCTTACTAAGCCATATCTCCTGTAAGCTTCATTTGCAATGCTTAAAAATGTTTCCCTATTTGATCTATCACTTAGTACCTTTCACTCAAGGACAAATTCCACGTATGTCTTGAAAGCATTTGTTGATTTCAATTTTTGTTGTTAAAAGAGTAATTACTGTTGAATTTTAACGTGAAATAGTTGTTGATCCATGTTAACTTCAAAGCATAGTTACACGAACCGTTCCAACTAAAATTTACACGCTGATAGGAAAAGAACTGGTCTTTTGTTTCCTGATTCCCCTTTTCCCCAATAAAATATTCGAGAAATAAATCACAGTGATGGATTGAACACCTGAAAATAATAATGGGAGGACGGAATTGCACGTAAGATAATCAATAGACAGAGTAAATATTTTCTGTCCCCTTCTCAGACTTTGATAATTCTCCTCCTGACTATGGTGATACAATCGGGCGCTGCTGAATTGATAACAGCATGCTTGCTGCTATTGGTAATTTCAAATTTTTGTAACTGAGAATGTAAAAATTCTGGGGGATGGAATAACTTCTTAATTGATAAATTCTTCGATATAATATAAAATCTGTCACCGCGATATTTTAAACCAATTGAAGTAGGTTGCAGATAAGATATTCCAAGAACCAGTAATGCTTTGATTACTTGATATAGTTAATAAAGGATACAATAGCTATAACTCTCTGAAATCTACCTATATTTATGGCCAAGTGAAACATCCTCTTAGTAAACTACAGTTAGCCCAAATAACCCGATATTTTCTTTCTATACCTTCCCGAGAATTTCTCATTGGTAACACTAGGGATTCTCGGGAAGTAAGCATGGGACTCTTTCTAATCTTCATAATTACAAATTCTTATTTTCACGATCGATCATTTTCTTAGATAATAAAAAACTCGGCAGTTCCATATCAGTAATTGTTATTAGCACTGTTTGTCTTCGCTTGCTTTTATTACGATTATTTTATGCCTAGCCATTGTGAAAGCCGTTCATCTCAGTACATTTATTCAGTTATCGTGCTAACTTATTCAGATCGGATTTGATCCTTAAGAACCCGTCCTGATGAGGTGGAGATATTTTTTGTTGTCCTTCCTGTAACATTGATCTTAATAACCCGAACTCTCGGGAAAAAGAAGCGAGTATCAGACCGAACGAGTTAGCTAACTGCTACCATTTTATTCATCGTCAACCGCAAAGAATGAAATATCGTAATAAATATGGAAATATCCAACTTCATCTTCATCTATTATTCTTCCATCCTTTCTAATTTATTGTAAGATTATCATCAAAAAGTGATAGGAATAAGAAGTTAATTACGAGGATGAATAAGACTATCAAAGTTTGAGAAATTGTTGAAAGACTTCTCCAGCACAGATCAGGATAAGCTACGTCGATTTAAATCCTTCCCAGACTTTATTATAATATTACCCGGCATAGCCAGTCAAAATGATGCATTCGGTACAAGAATCGGTTTGCATTCGAGTTGCAAAATCAGAATCGGTTTGCATTCGAATTACTTCTGATAAATTTTAGTTAAACAGTTTCTTCGAAGTGCTCATTCTAAACATTTTAATCGTTTAAATTTTGAAACGGTTTTAAAGAAACGAAGGTCAACCTATCTTTTGATATGCTTTTTTGTATGCATCTTTTCATTTATTCTTATCACTCAAAGATTGATACTAAGAGAAGGACAATGTTTGAAGCTACTATTTAATGCATACGATATCATATTATCACCTGAATTGCTTTCAGATCATCACGTTCCCCCTAGAACACTATATTTAGTACGGTTTTTACTTATAAGTAATGGCTGATCCTGAAACACACGCAAAAATTCGGAAGAATGATATTTACGGATTATCAACTGGTTCATCTTTAATTACTGCAGCGCTTATAGCTATTTTATGTGTAGCATTTATTGCACTAACGAAAAATATGCAGAAACCGGGCTGCTATCGTCGACCGTATAATGCATCACAACTTGGTAAGTATTAGATAGTAATTAATATCGATTTATTAGTCCCTTTGAAATCATTTGACCATAATCTTTCATTCTGCTTGTTAACTTCACTAGACTTCATCCTACCTTTTAATTCACCTCCTGATTTTATTGTGATCACCCACTCTATATTTCGTTATTTTCAATAGTATTGATATACTGACGTATATTGGAATACTTCATTCCAAACTTATCACTGTCCTAAGTTTTCTTTTTTATTCATATCGAATCATTTCCACTACGCACGACATTTCACTTATACTTTGAAAAAATGATATTTTTCGAGAGAGCTTAGGATTCATTATGAGGTTTGATTCTAACTTTTCTGATGTCAGCTTTTTCATAGGTCATGAAGTTTTGTTGGATGATGGATCTCATCAATTCCGTATAGTGGTTGTGACGGATCTTGATAAGAGCAGTAAGCATCCGACAGAAGAAAATCAATGGCAGAGCTTCATAGAATTTGGTGTTCTCACGGTGAACAAAGAATATACTGAGGCATCGCTGCAATGGAACAGCAATGAACAGGTAGAATTTGTTGCTGTGTAAGTTTGGCTTTTATCACTAAATATGTTTGTGAATAGTTTTTCACCTTTTTCTGAATTGCATTTTTGAAGTCTTTTTGCTTTTTCAGTAGAGTGTGAGAATTGCATCATTATCAGGTAACCCGATGTGATTTACTTGTGAGATTTATGCAGGCCTTCTGAAACTAGTAGTGTCTTCTACTAGTTGTGCTATAAAATAAGCAAAAACATGGCCTACTGTATGTATAAATTGTTCTTATAGATCTCACTTTATTCGACAATTGCGGGTGGTGGACGGTCGATGGAACTATCAGATCTTGTCGTTTTCGATGGAAATTTGTTATCAATAGATGATCGAACTGGAATTATATATCGAATTAAAAAAGACATGGCTTATCCCTGGGTTTTTTTTTTCATTCAGTTTCATGAAGATTTTTGTCATTTTCTCTGGATTGTATTTTTAAAAATTCTTTGCTTTCGCAATAGAGTGAAAGAATTGAACAATTCAAGATTTACCTCAATGATGGTGCTGGAAATACAACGAAAGGTTTCAAAGGTGAATGGATGACGGTGAAAGATGGTAATCTTTACGTTGGTGGACTTGGGAAAGAATGGACAACTACAAAAGGTGTATTTGTGAACGAAAACCCTATGTGGGTCAAGGTAGATTCTCATACTTCATGAAAACAGCTGTATAAATGTTTATTAGCCTTAACGATTTACTGACTTTGTAGGGAATGAAAAGGAGTAGTTTTATTTGTAGCAGAAGCCATTAGAATTATCCTACTGTTTTTCCTTTCTTCAGAGTTGCCAACTTTTCTGATGTTTGTGTTACCGAAGGTGCATTAAATTGAATGGTCGAGTAACTGGAATGATTGGATTTTAAATTTTATTCTAGGATAATTTTATTATAACAGAAAATCAGCTTATTTTTATTCTAATTTCACTATTTATCGCATTAATTGCTATCTACAAATACAAATAAGGGTTAGGTGTTATAGATTTTTTTCACCAACCTCTAATAACTAATGTCACCCAGGTTTGCAAAACAGTTGTTACGTTCACAGAATTCATTCAAATTCATTTGTTGCTTATGATTTTTACCAGCTTAATTCACTGTTTTCTAATCGTTTTTCAAAATTTAGTTGGAAAGTTTCCAGTCGCTCTCCAGGAGAGAATTCATAATCAATATTTTCAGCTTGTAACTCCTGAGGGTAGTGTTGAACATATCAGTTGGGTTAGTGAATATAAAAAATTACGTTCGGCAGTTGGGATTGAATGGCCTGGTTATATAATACACGAATCAGTTCAGTGGTCAGAAATCTATAGGAAGTGGTTCTTCTTGCCCAGAAGAGCCAGTAAGCTAGCATACACCGAAGCAGGGGATGAAGAAAGAGGTCAGCAGGCATTGAATTTCCATATAAACTTGTGTATATCGAACCGTATCATAGTCGTCCTTGAATTTCCGAAACTTTTGAAACTGCTTATAGATTTCCTAGTAACTCTTATTTCTAAATGGGGTACCCCTGAGCATTATTGCCTTACCCTCATGTAATGATGAGGATAGATAATAAAGAAATAAATATGTAAAGGTGAGTTATTATTATTTACGACCACTGACAGTACTGCACATTTGTGCACAGTTGGACAACGTTGCAATTAGGGCACAAGACTGTGTTTTAAACATATGTCAGATAAATTTGATTTCCGCTACCACTGCAATTAATTTGTGACAGAGAGTTGAAATTAAGTTGTTATTAGATTTCAGAACTGGTTGGCTACCTGATTCGGGCTTAAAAGCTGAGTAATGACAAATGAATGCAGCTATTTAACTTATTATTATGCTCATATTTCTTATTTCAGGTACTAACTATTTGCTTGTTGCTTCGGAGGACTTTTCTAACATAAAATACCAACAGATTGGGCCATTAAGCAGTGCAAGAGGCTTCTCAGCTTTCCAGTTTGTTCCTGGCACTAATGATCGAATAATTGTGGCATTAAAATCGGAGGAAAAAGATGGACTCCCCGTAGCTAGTTATATAACAGTATTTAATCATGAAATGGGTCATATCTTGCTTGAAGAAGTGCCACTCTTTGGCAGGTTCAAATATGAAGGAATAGCATTTGTTTGAAATATCTGCATGGGATTATCGAACCTCGCCATAAAAAATTTCACGCAGCAAAACTCTTTTCTAACTGCCCTGAATGGTGGTCTTCTAAACAGTAATATTGAGTTTCTTTATTTTTTATAATACATATATATCTTCTTAAAAATATTGATATGTTCTGCCTTCGGTGATTAGATAGTGAATCCTTTGAAGACTAATTTCCTGTAATCATAGTAAACCGATAGCGAAGTAATTAAATCTTTTAATGCAATTTGATGAATAATTTTTGAGGTGAAAACTTTTACCAGATTTATTGTGTGTCGAAATTGTGGAATTAAATGAAGCGAATTTTTTGAGAATGTGGAAAGCCATCAACGTGGCGAAAGTCCTAACGATTTACTCACCTTAATAAATGTATCTCCCAGTGGCAGAAAACTGAACATTGTTACACAAAGAGATAATATATTCTAACATATAAATATGATGTGATATTCCATAAAGCATGAGAGAATAGAAATTTTTGCATCCTTGTTCATGGCAGATAATTGAGGTATACATTGGTTTTACTTAATTTTTTTTTTTTTTCGTTTTCCTTTTGACATAACCTCATCTTTTTTTGTCGGTGTGTGATTACTGTGTATTATTGCGAAAGTCTTTTTCTTTATTTTGTTTAATTGAATATTTTTAAAATTTCCAACTTGTCGGTACCTTTATTTTACGTTTTGTGAACATATTAATAATGAATTGTTGTGATTGATAACTAATTTTATTCATGCGCATATACTTTATTCTTTTTCATTAAAATGATCTCCCAAGGGTTATTTGTTAACAATAACTTCACTTAAACATCAACGGTAAGCATTTGGGTTTCCGGAATTGACGAAATTCTTTAAAGTTATTCTACCCGTTGCCGATATATTAAGTAATTTAGTGAATGTTTTCTGAAATTAAGTACATTTGTGTGTCATTTTTGAGAAAATTGTATTTATTTCTTAATAATATTTTTTTCAAATCGTGCCGGAATAGAAATTAGTTGTTTGCCTGTAACTGTGAATTGTTTTTTCTTTTTTCTTTCTGGTTTATTGAGGAAGAATTGGTTTGTTTTTTTTACAGCGTTTTCATTTTCTTTTAACATTTTTGAAGATTTCCTTTCCTTTTTTTTTTTTTTGTTAACTAAGGATTATGCTTCATTTTTCTAACCATTCGTTATTCACTTCTTCGTTCGTATATTATTATATATTCGAACAAATAATGTCATAAGGGATGATTGGCTCTTCAGATAATTTGGCTTATCTTTCCGTGCTCTCACTGTGAACATGCCATTCTTATCATTGCTTATGTTACTTTAAAAATGAATTGAAAGTTAGAATTATGATGAGTTTGGGTATAGAAGATGAAGTTGGAATTGTGGTCATTAATGTCTATTGAGGTTTGATATCATAAATGGCACTGTTTGATATTCTTCTTGATGCTGTGCTTTCTTTATGGTACTTCATGGTATCGTAGTATGGCATTTATCAGCTACAATATGTGTGTATGTTTGTATGAGTGTGTTTGTGTTTGTTTATGTAATTGGACTGTTTGATCAAGAATCGTTGAAGTAGGTTATCACAGTTATATTGTTATTATTGCTTTTTTCAATTATTGACATTGCCTTTTTGGTCTGCACGGTGGTTTTATTGTCAAGGCATCTGTCTAATAATTTTTCGTTTACTGATGATGATGATAATTATTCTAATTAATGTTTCAAATTGTTCTAAAATATTTTACAAAGAGTAGAAATCTCAGTTATTGTTTCAGTTTTCATTAATGTTGTTAACAAATTATGCAATAATAATAATAGCGATAGGAATTTTATGTAAATGATCTTATTACTACTTCACAATTTTGTTTATCAATAACATTTGTAGTTGGTTAATTCATCCTTTGTTTTTAATTCAGTTCCGAACTAAATTTCTATGCATATGAAGTTAGTTATTTGGAGTTCAGTTTTAATCGTGCAGAAAGTGGGCTAATTCGTTGCGGTTGGTTCTTCTCTGTCAATAGGTTACTCTTGAATCTACTGCAGTTTGCTGTTCCGGTTGTTTAGTGACATCGATAATAATGAGATGTAATTTTTCCGACGCAATTTCGTAATTAGGATAAAATACTAGAAATTTCGAAATAATATCTAAAATGATTGGTTTCATCATACTGATGGATGTGTGCTTACTACTCTGTGAACATTCAACATTATGTGATTTTACGGGTTCCGGTTTTGTGTAGCAGATTAAAAGAATTCTTCAATTGTAGGAATCATTACATTTCAGGGAATCATGAATACTACTATACCGAGCCTCGTAGATGGAAGGTTGAATGCACCTCCGACGAACAGGACAAGTTTTTCAGAGTTAGATCGGCTGAACAGTGTGACGAGCTTTCTGGATGAATTAGCAAGTGATTATCATGAATACAGGAAACTAGGTTCTTTTAATTTATATGATTACATTTTACTCAGTGGGAGAATATGTATTAAAAGAAAGGCAGAGGAAACGTAAACCATATCGTAGCACTGATCGGATTGCCTGACAAATGAGCTAAGGATCGGTAATGCTACCGGTGTCGTTTAGATTGCAGTATATTCCTAAAGGCATTACTTAAAAGAAAAAAGGCTGGAATTGATGTAGGTAAAGCTTTTGGTAACTAGCATTTAAATTATTTCATTTATATCGTCTTTATGCATACCTTTTTCTACTTATACTCAATTTAACTTATTTCGAAAACATAAAATGGGACTTCAATATTTTCTTCGCTTCTGTTTGCAACTAATAAAACACGCTTTTTTCATTACTTACTTTTGGAGGGAATCAGGAAAGTAATGTTGAAATAATGGACAAGGATGAAATGCATGGGTATAATGGACAGATGGACCATTATCACATGCATGAAATGAATGATGGATTGATGAAACACGGAAAAGGACATGACTATCAGCATGATGGGCATGGTGCGCATAATATGAAGATGTGGTTTCATTTCGGTTATCGTGAAATAATTTTATTCGAATTTTGGCAAATCGAGTCTTTGTATGGTTAATTTTTCTAATGCTTTTATTATTAATATTCTGACAGTCACACTGATCATTTATCTTCGCGAAGAGAAAATCCTCACAATTTCTATCTTCCAACACTTTTCTTTGAAATCTGATGTTCTCTCTTACTCTTATGCCAACATTTAATTAATTATTTCATCTTCTTTCTCCTTTTCCTTAATTCATTTCTATCTTTATATATAATGGGAAAATAACAAAACAGCAACAACCATGGGTCGCATGAAACGGAACAATTTTGCGGATAACAAATAATGTGCCTTGTTCAAGTAGTTGCTAGTAATTTAACGCTGGTAGTAATTGCAGGTCTCTTGCTTTCTTGTTTACTGATCTTCATAATGGCTTGCTTTTACGAATGGATTAAATGGTTTCGTGTTTATCTGCAGCTTTCTGCTGCGCGATGTCCTCCAAGTTGCCAACATGCCAATAATGAAAGAAAGTTAGATGAAGTAAAACAAGATGACGATAAACGTACTGGCTGCAACTGCTCTTCTGTATCTGCTCCTCTGAGGATCACTCTATCGCCTGGTTATCAGCAAGTTTCTACCAGGTTTGTTTAATTTTTTAATATTTGAAGATTGGTACTGTTTTTCGTATTTCATAGCTCCATTAATGGACTCGATTATTATGTTGCAAGGATTTGCCGTGTACTTAACTGAATGAGAAATTGGAAATTTCTCAAAAGAAAAGAAAGAGATTGGAAAAAATTGGAAATTTCTTTAAAAATTATTTCAGTGTTTTTAAACGTTTTTTTCCCAATTGTGTTTAAAGCTGTTTTCCATATTTTAATTAACTAGAATGCCGGAATTACCCGGACTGATCAGTGTAATGCACGTCTTGCTGATAGCTTGAGTTTGTCATGAATATGTCCAAAAGGGTTTTCGAGGATCTCGATAGTTTAGTTTCTGTTTTATATGCCACATGCAAAATTCAAAATCGTACACTTTTCCCATTAATTTTTCAGGACAGCAAAGGAGGATATTTCTCCTACAATTCGATTGTTGCAAGTAAGTACATGCACTATTATCACTTTTATTAGTTTTACTTAAGCTGCAGATATAGTAAGGCGCTGTAAAATGTTATCTGAAATGCAGCAAAATATTAAAATAGCTTATTATTACAGGCAGTCCTTTATCTTGTGCAGCTGACGTTGGCATATTGCTTGATGCTTATTGCGATGACTTATAATGTTTGGTTAACCATAGCTGTAATTGCGGGTGCAGCTTTCGGACATTGGTTATTTGCTATCTTAAAATGTTTTAATCCAGAAACCGACGATTTGGATACATTTGCTACTGATGCCTGCCATTAGAAATAAGTTTTTCATTTCCAGTGTTCCATCAGTAATGGTTCGCTGATCATATGTCTGTATTAACTGTATTGCTGAAGTATTAATTTAATTTGTCTTAGTTTTTCTGAAGTATTAATTCGATTTGCCTAATTTATTTTAGTTTTTAAACTGTCAGATTCAGGGTATAAGTTCTTACTTTTTTTTTTTTTGCTAGTTAGAAAGTTTATGCTTTTTCAGATTTCTTATTAGAGCTTGTACAAAAAGCTTGTTTTAATGATTATACTTATCTTTCTGGCTATATTTGCTGTACTTTTGTCAGCTTACATACGGACAATACACCTGTGAAATAATTTCTCAAGATGTATTTCCGGATGAAACATCGGTACTTATCTTTAGTTCAGAAGGATCTGCGCAATCATTCACCCAGCGGAATATGTTTCGTGTTTGCAAGTGTAGCATCCTGTTTATCGATTTTCCAAAAAGTTAGTGATATCGAACGTTAACATATCGTTCTATTGTATTCATCGTTCCACGAGTTGCTGGTAATTGCAAAAAATAAAATCTGCAGCATTCGTAATAAAAATCATCTTGCTTTTTCATTGTTAAGACGATTCCGTTCGTCAGTAAGATCCACAGCTAAAAAAAAACTTATTTCTCTCCAAACTTCATTTCAAAATGTTCACATTCCCTGCACTCTTTCTATTGCCAATCCAACATATTCGTGTTGATCATCCTAGTAATGTATCATGATACACTACTAGGTAGTTAGTTAGGTATTAATATTGTTTTCTTATTTCAGTATTTTTTTTCACATGTATCACAATGCTTATTTTCCCATTATTTCGTTCTTATACTACTTATTTATTTCTGTCATTGTTACAGATCATTATTTCGAACCCTCCGCTGTAATGATCTATTGATCATTATGATCAACAACTATACTTTCTCATATATGGCACTTCTGAATCTTTCCATTAACATCCTTTCATCTTTTATATATCTGATCGAATAGTAAATGTTTTCCTGTTTCGCCGAAATTTCATTTTACAAACTCGTAAGTTAACAATTCATTTCGAAAATCTATCCTATATTCAGGAACCAGGAGTACAAGAATGCTTGATATTCAGAAGTTTACTAAAGACATAGCCATAGGTGTGGTCAATGCAAGCAAGGTATGCGGGTAGATTGTTAGCCAACAATATAGTATTAAGGCGTTGTTGCGGTACTAAGACTTATGAAGAAGTGAGTCACAAGATATCGACAATCTGATTTACTGTATTTGTCCGATGTTAGAGCTGCTTTTATTGTTAGGTGGTTCGAAAATAATGCTTCAGCGGCGTTTGTCGGGAATATTGTATGTAGTTACTGATTAGATATGTAGAAGACAAACATCCGGTGATGCTTCATGTATTTAAACTACGGATGTCTTTTTAGAGTGAAAAGTTTTCAGAACCATCAATGATATCAAATCAAATACACCAAATCTTATTTATAATGTATCAATATAACGTAAAAAGTTGATTTCAGTATTGTACTTGACTTTGTCAATGGATATCACAATAGATGCTGTGCTTTCGAAAGACTTTAAATTCCCTATGTGTGATTTCTTCGGAAATATTTCCACAGCGTTACCGTAGACACCGCTTGAAGCGTGATGTCATCTTCCTAACCATTTCCATATAAATGCAATCCATAACACATAGGACATCTACCATTCTCCGTGATTCTTTGTTCATCCGAATGAGGAATATATAAACAGTGGATATGCACTGAATGTCCACAACTATAAACAATGATGTCACAATTCGTATGTCTGCAATCAGTAGGCTTTTCGCGTTGCAGCAGCAGAGCTATCCTGAAATCGAATCGCTTAGAGAGGAAAAAAAACTAATGAAATTTCCAATTTAAATGTTAATTTCAAAATGGAGAACTGGTTTCACCTGCACACAATACAATACTGATCGAAATCGATGAAAATCGAACGTTTGCGATTTGATAAATATTTTGCGAAAAGCCGATTACTGTCAGCTTCTGTTACTTGCAAAGAGCCAAGCTGCATTTGTACAAGTAATTCATAATCACGCAAGATTTTCACCAATAAATTCCGTAAACCAGGAATGTTCATTTGTTCCGGAATCTGAAAGCTTAAGAAGCTCCTAATAATTTGCACATTCCAAGCAACAACAGTATGTAGTTTCCCGGAAGGTAGTGTGCTGAAAAATCGGACCGTTCCCGAAAGGAACCAGTTTCATATTTCCAAAAAGTAGTTTCCCGGAAGGTAGTGTGCTGGAAAATCGGACCGTTCCCGAAAGGAACCAGTTTCATATTTCCAAAGACCGCCCATTCTCAAGATATAATTCCGAAAGTCTTAAAATAAGAGTTTATAAGAAATGATCGCTAAAATTACCCAGTTTTCAATACCTTCGTAATTCTACTGAAATGTAGCATACTGAACGTAGGTATTTCAGTTCTTCATTTCTTATGCGATCTTTTTTTACAAAAGGCGAAGATCATCTCCACCACATATCTTCCGTAAAATAACAAGGATTTGAATTTTAAAAGTAAAACTAATAATAACGGTAATACATATCACGTTAGAGAAACGAAACACTGCATATTTAAATGAAGAAACAAAAAAACCTTCTCAATAATGTTTAATGGATTAACGTATTTTCCAGCAGTATTCAAAAGCTCCATGATATGATCCGGTCGTTTCACAGCCGCATCGACCAGTGAATTCCATAAATCAGAATCATCGTTTTCACGGCAAAAGTCAATTGCACTATCAATGCGACCAAGTTTATTTACAAGTAAATCTAGAGCTTTCATACGATTTCCACTTCTTCCCAGCAAATAAACCATCTGTAATGATATCAGGCTGTGATGATTATGACAATTTATAATATGATTTTACAATATAACCTAGTACTAAGCTAACTAACCACAGGCTTTGAATTGCTTATTCTGCCCGTGTGAATGGAGCTGTAACTACGTTACTGCCAGTACCGCCATCATTCACATCATTTCCTTTGATGATTAAAAAATTAAAAACTAGCACAAGAGTTAAACATTGAATCATGCAAAAAAAAAAATTTTAGACAAATCAATAAACCTCATTGATGTACTGCTTTTTTTCACAGATATCAATGGCTTTTGCTATATCATAGACTGCTGTTTTCCGGAGGAATGGTAAAAGAAGTCGTGGTTCATTTTCAGCATACAGTCCTATAGCGAAATCGACAAATTCCTCCCCTTCATTCCTCTCAAATAGACTGTTCAAATACGCCATCTGAAATATATTTTTTGAAATGATAATCTAATTTGTTCCTTTTTCAAATATTTTGGAAAGTAAACAGAAAAATAAAGTAAAAGAAATAAGGTTGGTCAAGATCCAACTGATTCAGCGCATAAAGACGTAAACTAAAATAGAGATCATCAAAAAATCAGATGAATGTGTATAAAATGAAAAAAAAAACGAATATATGTAAATGAAATAGGAAGCATTAAAGGAGAAAGAGACTAAGCAAAGAACATTCTTTCCAACTCCGTGAAAGAGTTTGTTAAATATACAATTTAGAATTAATGCCTGCAATTTTGGATACATCGCAAGTTGCGTTAGAATCGTTTTTGTTGGAAGACTTCCGGCATTTTCAATAAGCAGTCGTATTGTTAGATTCGTATCGATATCCATCAGTTTTGTCAAATCATTCTTAACCTGTTAAATTATTCTTAATAAGGATCTACATCCCCTGCTTTAGCTCTTTACTCTCGATCTTGTATCTTTTTTCACGGAATAGGACAAACAGCACAAGTTTTTTAAACAATCATCATTACATTAATGTTTATTTCAAGAACTAAAACTTGATAAATCACAAAGATTAAATCTTCCTAATGAAATTGGAACGGTTGATACAGAGAAGATAAGCAAACGAAAATTCGATAAATCACAAAGAAGGAAGTCTCACCAGGTCGAAGAGTTGGTACTTTTCGATAACCTGAAAAACGGTTTTGTCGTTTAACATGATGTAAAGCATTAAAGCTTTATTATATTTTCGTTCGTACAGATAAAGGCGAGCCAAAGATCGATAAATAGCTACTGCATCATTTTCTGATAGTGGATTCACATTTTCATGTACAATCCGTTTCATAGCCATATCCGTTATTGCACCTGAAGCACTACAAATTTTAGTTTGAAGTGAGAATTTTCTTTTCCCATCCTTCATTCGAAAAAACTTACGTAAAACATATACCTGCAACGTGTGTAAATAACAAATAACGAGTAAATAAAACACTGACCTACGCGGAATAAATCTGGATTCCAAACTTTGATCAAGTTATAAAATAAAACTGGATGGTTGTACAATGCAGCAATCAGTACACACTGGTAACATTCCGGTTCCAATTGGGGATCCCTTACCGGGAGATATTTTGCCAATTGAAGGACCACATTATTCTGTTCAAACTCATTTACATAATATTCCCACAGATCTTTCTGACGTCCACAAACCTTAAATAAATATTCGAATGATTTCAAACTTCTCTCTGATATTTAAAAAATCAAATAGAGATGGGAAGATGTTCATACGTGACCTTAACGGAAACAACATAAAATTAACCTAAATAGTCTTGCTACATGTTCAAACAAACGATAAATGAAAAAAAAAATGAAGTGACCGATAAATTAAAGTTAGCAGACAATTATGTTAGCGTTATGCAAACAAATTCTACACAAACCGCTTTAAGACTTGCTGCAGCTTCGGCGAAACGTTTCTGCTTAGTGAGAGAACTCAAATAACGTTTTCCAATATCGACAGGATCTAAATGCTCAAGTTGAGCTTTGTGTTCATTCGCATATTGCATTGCATCACGAAGCATATCATTCTCCAAATACCATCGTACTCGATCATCAGCTGAACATGGCTGCGCCTTCAATATTTATTACTGCAGATGTAAATGATTAGTAGAAACAACAGAACGAATGCAACTAGCATTTCTCTTAAGTAATTCAGTTGTATTAAATTATAAGAAAATAAATTACAAACTTACCTTTCTTTCTAGATAAATAAAGGCAAAAATATTTTGCATTTATGCAGCTTCATTTCTTTTGGATACTATTCTCACAGATGGCCCTGCCCTAATTATAAATATTGTCCCATATCCTGAAGCACACACCATCGTGTGATTAAATGTAACCACTGTTGCACATTTTCAAACTATATCACCTTAGATCAGATGTTAAAACTAGTAATGATAAAAGATCAGGGAAGATCAGTAGGTCGAGTGTATTTGGGACAACAATAGTGATAAATGACACAGGATACCTCGTTAAGGAGAATTACGAAATTTTCGAAAAAGAAAACCCGACCTCAATGAATTCCTGACAGCCAAGCAAAAAGTACACATTTTCATATGGCAGAGAAGACATATGAAACAAAGTTAGGTTGCCTCGATCACACGTATACATTTCGATTCTATCTTCGGTAGTCAAAGTAAATGTGTTTGAATCTTCTGGCTCCAATAACGCCAGTATCATCTCACATTCATCCTGCGTGGGCTTAAAAATACTTTGCATTGCAAAGTGTGAAGAAATGAATCATTGTGAAGAAATTTAAAATAAGCTCTAATCAGTAACTAGGTATTTTTTCATTTAAAGGCGAAATTTTTTTTTGGGACACGCCAGTAGGAAGAAAATGAGGTAATTAGTCCTTCCTCCAATCTAATTACGTATTTATTTCAAACAAAAAAATGAGATGAACAAATTACTTAAGATCATCATAACATCATCAATTAATTATAAAGTAAATGAACTCGTAACAAATCCTTTTAAATATTGGAAAAGAAAGACACACATTTTCAACGGTTGTCTTCTTCATTCCGAAAACTGTTATTTCTTTCCAGAAACAAGATTTATCATCACTAAGAGTGAATGAAATATCAGCTATATACATATCACACTTCCAAACGTAATGTACTTCCACTCCTTTCCTTTCGGTCGATGAAACTACCTTAACAACGAATTTATGAGAAGAGTTACAGTTTACGCTTATCCAAAATTTGTAAAAATTTACCTGTGAATCAGATGAACCAATGATTACGCATATGGAAACAGTATCGTACCATCCAACTGCCAGGGTTTCGTTGTTGATCCAACAATGAGACGGACGAGCTTTGACTGTAAGTGTTGACTGTTTTTCATGTGTGGGTTGGACTAATGCAATTAACTGGTTCGCATTCCGAAAACAAAACAAAATTTAGTTTATCAAAGAAGCACCTAGATCATACTAAAAAAAAGTTAAAATGATCTGATGAAGAACGACACTTTTTCTTGGTGTATAAAGACATAAGACAATTGTTATCTTATATCTTACAAATTGTTGTCTAATTGTGGTTAGACAATTGTTGTCAGAATAAATAAAATAAGGAAACACTAAAAGTAGTCAAAGGAAGACTAGAAATTGTCTAATACTCACTTGTCAAATATCCTAGTTCCTGTTTCATTGGTAAAAGCAATGCAACAATCCTGCCAAGAAATTTGCGTAATCATTCCATCACAATCCATACCTTCATATAATATCTAAACGAAATGAAAATTAGGTCATTTTAGGTTATATTTAACTGACAGTACATGAAAGAAAGAGAAAGGATATAAGGTCTTTCATATTCATATATTTATGGATTTACTAAGGGTAGTAGGAAAAACATTTATTTTTTATCTGAATAATCAAGAATGTTGGATTTCAAAAGATTAACAAAAGTTCGGTAGAAATGCATGATATGGCCAACGATGATGACTACCGTATAATAGCCAACGATATACTTTGCAATATCTACTCTTATTTCAGATACTAGTAGGCTGCAATGCACGCCGGGAACTAAACGTATTCTTAACAATCGGCAAGGCTTAAAGCAGAAGAGCAGTTATTACAAAACAGAGCTCACATAAGATTTACTGAAGTTATGAAACCGGAGAACAAAATAATTCATGAACAAAGATTAAAGTATATTTGAAGCACTATCTGCTTCAAAGGTTACAATATAGATGACGACCTTTTCTCTATAATTGCCGAAAAATGTTCGCTGATGTAGCAATAAATTTCTTTCTCCAGTTATAAACATATGTCCTGAACTACGCTTCGTAAAATCCGGATCTATTGCTACCGATCGTGCGGCTAACTTTAAATCTATAATCTGCAATTATGATTATATAACATTCCATAATTTTAGAATTAAAAGTATGTCGCCTATACATCAGAAATGATAAATCTCCGTATGGCATGCCAATGTGATCTAATTATTACAGTTCTTATAATTTGTTAATAACAATGTGCAATTCTTTTCCCAGTGAAAACATTTCATATGGCATTGTTTCATTCAGTTAGTCGTAAGAAAACAAAGAAACAAAAGTTAAAAACAGTCTCCTTTGCGCGCTACTTCTTAAAGTTATTTTTATCCTTGAAAAAAAAAAAGGATTTTCCACGTTCTAACATTTCTTACTCTTACCATCAGGAAGTACATTGGAAAATTATTTATTTGTAATTTGAGCTAACTACCACAGCTATATATATATATACATATATTGCTTAAAAGTGATTGCACAGTTAATGTGTACTCTCTCCATTTTTCCTAAGGATCCGAAATATTTTCAAATAAATAATGCTCCCGCTCCAATAAATAATGTAAGGCAATACTTTTACACTTGAAATACCCTTACAGATTTCAACTATTAGCATTGTAAGCAAAAAACTAGAGAAAAAATCGTTCATTAAATAATACTTGCGAAAGTTCGAAGGAAGTAATGCCTCCAATACTGATTCGAGCATCCTGTGAACAACTAACGAAGTATGATCCCGTCGGATCAATTGATATTTTTGTAACCGGACATCGATGATGACGTGCTGTCTAAATGTACAAGCACAGCTTACATAACATGCTAATTGATTTTCAACTACTTTTTTAAAATGACTAATTCACAACAAAATTTCTTTGCTTTATTTCGAAAACTCAGAGCTTTTAAATCTCTGTATAAGTAACTATGACTTGCAAATATCTGCAAAAACAATAATTCCTCATATTTCGTTAAGTCTTTGCCCTGAAATCCGCAAAGTTTTTTTTCAAACAAGAAAAAAATTTTCATAGTACTTTTTGTAAAATAGATATAATGGTTTGACATAAGTTAAGGACACTCATATATATTCCTGTGAAAAAAAGTTTCAAACTGGCAAAGAAATTTGCGAATTTGGGAATCATGAAATTCGGTTAATACTATTTTTTCAATCCACTTCTCGACAATCTACATCAGTGATTCCAAATGGTGGTCCGCGAGAAACTAATATATGGTTAGCGAGGGCAACGGAGCGGTGAATAGAAAACAGGCGGGAGCTGTTCTCATCAATGTTCGATAAATTAATACGTTAAATTTATTTTTCAGCTAAAAAAAATTTTTTCGAACCTTGTGATCCCTGCTACAAATAACACCAAAGTAGTCCCTGATCAAGGGAAGATTGGGAACCACTGATCTGGTACATTTACTCCTCTAACGAAACATAAAGCAGAAAAATTAAAGCTAACATTTTCTGGATGAAACTTCCGAAATGATCAATAATATACACGTTTCCGGAGCGACTACCTACTGCTGCGAACTTATGATGCATTGCCATACAAGTTGCCATATCTTTTCTCAATATCTGGTAAAACAACAGTATCAAAAAGTTTCTTATCGGAATTTGCATAAGATTCCTTATAAATTTTGACCACATTTAAATTAAACTTTTGCACACTTTTCTCTTGCCGAGACTTTTTCCGAAGCTTCCAATAGCTGTTTACCAACAACGATCTCATTCTTAAATTCCTTATATTCTAATTTTCTTAAAAACGGCAACATGCGACACTCACTCCAGGTATATTATTTAGAATTCTGGAATATTTGAATCGTGGCTCCAGCAACACTTCCTCAATGTCAGATTCCACCTTGTTATTCTTTTCTTCATCAATTTGTGCGACATCTGTGTTAACTTGTTCTTTTTGCATATGAATGATGCTAGAATTACAACTTCCACTGATACAGCAGTGACCGGAAACAAATTTAAAAAGTGAAGCTTTTCCGGATAATAGTGTCACTCATGTCACATCTCAAAATTTAATCTAATTAAACCGAAAAAAAAGAACAGTTGTGACCTGTAATTTTCAATCCTATGTTAAATTTGTAAAATTCTCAACAGCCTTAAGACCTTGGTGCATTGTTTCCTATGTTACTGAGACCCTAAGGTATACAAGGATATTTCAGGCTAATAATACCCTGGACAAATAAGCAACAGCCACAATGGCAAATTTTTAGACCACAATTTCAATTGCAATTTGAATCCGATTTTATATATTAAAAAAAAAAGGCAAGAACCCTTGAACAACAATGTTGTAACTGATATAAAAGCTATGATGCAAAGTTTTACTATCCTAAGAATGGAATATACATAAGACACAAGAATGCATATATGACAAGCATCTATATATGCTTATGCATCGGTTATAAATGTACAACTGAGCATGATGAAATGGTAAAAGAGCAGTTTTAATGAAAGTAGTTAAGAAAGAAGAAAATGTACCAAGCGACGAAGTAAAGAATTAGAATGCATTAGGAAAAACTTGTTAAAATTAACATGTATAACGAAGAAAATAATTTATACCTGCCTAAAAAGACATATCACTCCATTTGATAAAAGTTTTTTGAGATGAGAGATCAGCAAAAAGAATTACAATCATCGTTTGTTACAATCATTAATTCTTCCATAATTGTAAAAACATTACTAGTTGTAATCGGATCATCCTGGAAGAAATGTAAATTTCAACAGTGGCGAAAATACTCCAAATCTTTCTCTTCCCTGGGCAACAGTTTTGGGCTACAATTACTTTGAGGTAAATATGAAAGATCTACCTCCTGACAGTCTACCAGTAATATGCACGGACATTGGCAGTATTCATAATTCAGCCGTAAACAATATGTGAAGAAAACTTTGGAAAAGAAAAACAAGCCAATAAGCTACTAAAAATCAGGAAGGTAAGGAACATCGACTCTTACGTAAACAAACACATTTTTCAAAAGATGATAAAGAACAGAAAATTTCACATGAAATTTTAATTAACATATTATCATAATCGTCCCGTAATCACTTGAAGACAGACTAGTCTTTTTCTTTTTTCATCATATCCAAGTAGAATTTCAGTATTAATAATAGTTTTATCCCAAAAATAGTAAAGCAAAGTTTAAAAATACCTTACAATCGAACAACAAAATTATTACAGCCGGGAAAAAATTTCATTAAAATAGAAATATCCTGAACCATTTTAGCTCAGAAACTGTGACGGATGATTTGGAAAAAATACAGTAATTCAGGTTAAAGTAAATAAAGAGAATATTCCCAATGAACTAACTTCCGACCATAAATAATCATGGAGAAAAAGTTTTAAAAAAAATTTGGCGCTAATAAATGTGACATATCACTATGATAAATGGATTTCTGTTCAATGTTACTGTGATGTGACATATCAGTGATGAACAGATATGAATACTATGAATACAATCACCGGTATAGCCGTTCTGGTTGTTGACTGAAAAAAAGTAAATTTAAGAATAAGGTTCCCAAAGTGTAAAATGAGTTTTTTTTTTAAAAAAATACTTTTTTAAAATACTGTTCAGAAACCTAACCGTGAGGTGGTAAAAATCCTTCATAGTACTGCATTATTCACCCAGTAATAATACTATGGAGATATATTTCTGAATGTTTCATGAAAATTAAAGAAGCTACTGGTACATAAGATAGGTCAACAGTTCGAAAAGACCGATATTGCAAGCGTTCTTCAGGAAAATTATATACGCACACTTTTGATCCGCGTAGGTTGAGATGAATTATCGGAAAAAAAATGAAAAAGATTCAGCAATTGCAGTGGTAAAGAATACAAGAAATTAACTTGATGTGATGCCATTACTATTCATGTTTTTCCCTTTCTTTTTTTCCACTTCGTCATTTTCACTACTTTGTGGCAGAACCAGTGTTAATGTAGTAAAAAAAGAAAATGAGTCAAACAGTAATGCGGACTTCGTTGATGCAGTACTTGCCTGTCTGCAAACATTTTCCATATGGCTTTACAACAAATAACGCGAGAAAGTTCTCTTCAGCTTCAAATCTATCATCAAATTATTGTGAACAGTATTTATATGCAATGAAAAAAAAAGAGTACCTAAAGATAATGACGCAAATTTAACAACTGCAAATGCTTGGAGGATCCATTTCCGATGGTTTGCTTCCTTGATTAAACTCATGGTTTGGCTTTGTACATTTATGCAAAGTCTTATCCACATTTCCAACACTTCGGAAGCTAACTGATGGCCTTTGAAAGGTTGAATCCGTGGAAGTATCTTGTCTGAAATATGAACAGAAAATAATTGATTACCGGCCTTTTCCACCTTTAATGTTGAATATTTTTGCATTTCAATTTTACAATATAGTCAATCCCATTTCGCTTCTATAAGACTGTAATTTTTAATAAACAAAAAAATCGAAATACAAATATCTCTGTCTTCATCTAGATTCCTGTTGAATCAGTTACATGAATATTGATGACATGAACAATGACATCATTTTTTTCTTTTTTTTTACAAAATTACCTTTTGCTAACAATATGAAGCAATAAATCTTGCAAATTAAACAAAGTTCTCCCCACTCCTTTCGTAGTTATACCAAATGACCAACGAAGTTGTGATATATTTTTATTTAACAACGACATGCCTTCTTCAAATTTTTCACGATTCCGTGTCATACCATAAAGAGGATATCTAAAATATATGAACGTTTTTGATAAACTATGAGGAATTCTCGGTTTTAAGCTTTCTCAATCAAAAATATGCAGAAAAAAAAGAAAAAGTCTGGAGGGAACTTTAGCGGCAAACGAACTAAATAAAAAGCTTTAAGATAAGTGTTAATGATGAAGCGAAGAAACAATATATACACTACCTCTCCTCAAGTATTGGATCTTTTATTGTTGATTTTGAGCCAAAGAAAAACATGCTGTATTGATACGGAAAATTGTATATTCGTGAAAGTAAGGACAAGACTTGAACAACATATCCTGTAGCGGCACTTACTTCTATATCGGAATGTCCTGGAAATTACAAACTATGATGACTGCAGTTATTCGACATCTCAGTAAATTTTTCCAATAAATAAATCAACTTCGACCAAATTTTCTTTTGCAAAATTATTGTACTTCTAACATGAAATCAAAAAATTAACCAAGAAAAGATAAAGTATCTGGAAGATGAAGACCAGTAATACAGGCTATTGAACGGCAAGCACACGATGAAGGCATTAAACGCGCTTCTGGTGATGTATTTAAATTGATGACATAAATATGCATTAGATCTTCAACCATCTTTCTTCGACGCCATGCCAAATGTGAAGCGATTAAGAGTAAATTATCTCTAATAAACAACATCAATGAGATTTCGTAAAAAGTTTCAAATATCGTATACAAGTTATAGTATGTAAGTGTTTTTATGTGTTAATCAAATATTCTGGCCAAAGGTTCTAAATAAACAACTAATCTCTTTTACATTAAATGTATCTCATGAAGTTAATGAAACAGTTTATCGTAAGCGCACAGCGCTATCTAAGATCTGCACCTTCATTCACCAAAACAATTCTCAAGGATCATACTTTGCCAAAGAAAGTGCTGCTTTTCGCTTTAGCAAATCTTCTTGCATCTTTATAACTTCGCTTGATCGTTTACTAGTCATCATATCTGCAATAGTATATTACTTAAGAACCTAATGCAAAAATTCTGCCGACACGAATAATTAGAAGGTATTTATGTCCAAACACTCAACGAAATATTTCCAAACTGATCTATGGCTTAAGGATGAATCTGGTAAAGCTACGCAACGAAATCACGATAACTAATTTTTTGCTTGGAGGTAAATGAATTAGCGATTAAGAAGTGCGATCTGGAATTATGGTGTTTTGAACGGCTCAATAAGTCTCTTCGTTATACTGAGTGATTATAATATTATAATGAATACAAAATCTAATAATTCTTTGAAAATATTGTTCCTTTCTTCACTAAGATTACAAGAAGACCATTTCGGTTCCAAAGTGAAGCTGATGTTATTAAGATGTGAGCAGGAGTGAAAAAGCGATCTTTTTTACCCAGCTGACTGCCCACTTCCAATCTCATAATTGGCTTTTTTTCACCACAAACAGTATACAGTACAAATAATCGTCTAATCAAAAATTAAATACCTTTCTGGAACTTTTCGTCATTAAAATGAATCAATTTCATACGACACGTCATTACACGACACTTCTGTCTCTCCACATAATCTCGTAATGCTTGCAATTCAACTTGTTCGCACCGCACTCGCTCAGCCTTAAATAACGCAGAGATATGCATTCTTGAAAGAGTAAAACTTGTTGTCCAAATATATCTCGAAATTAAAAAAAAAAAAATTCCAACCAGCTCACGATATTCCTCCTCATTTGCCAACAATACATCTAATTTTTCCCGTTGGAGCACAGCTATTTCCTGCGTTTCTTGCAATGCACGACAAACATCACGTAACCTGTAACAACGGACATTCATTGCTCCATGACAATCTCTTTATGTTCCACGCCACTTACCATATTAAATACAAAAGTTTGATCGTCATGCATTGGAACTGTACATCCTAGCTTAAATTTCCGCTCCTTTTAAACAAACGAATCAATTCAATCCAATACCTTTTCCAACTGCTGTATGTATAGGACCGAACAAACTTGTCTTGTACAACACATGAAGTTGATGGCTCATTTTCGTTTCCTTCGGCAACTACCTCAGCACTTTTAGATGGTCGATTCATTTAACCTCAACATCAACCTCAAACGAAATTATTCCGAATCTTTTTTTTTTTTTAAATTCAAGAAGAACACCCCCTAGATTCATATCCCGGAACTTACAACCCCGGTTGTCGTGATGGAATGTGAAAAAACCACAGCAGTAATTATTATAAATCAGTCAAATCGAAGCATGTTATTATGAAATGCTGAACATATCCCGTCACATTTATCCTAACCGATGGAAGAGTTTAGCAGTAATAATACGCCACTGTTTTAAGTGTCATTTGTGCTAAATAATTAGATAAATGAAACACAAGACCTATAATTACGATTCCACATTTCGACAACTTCGTGTAATTTCAAACAGCTATCATGGATTTCCAATTATCGTTCATGTATAAATTATAGACATTTCAATTCATTTACTTACTCAAAAGAAGTTAAAACGAAAGGAAATGCAAAAAAAACAAAAACAAAAAGAAAGAAAAAGAATGAGTGTACAAAAAAGAGAGTGATGACCATTCACAAAAACAACCATTACTGTAAACAGCTGAATGGACCGATTTGTACAGTCACTGAAGTGTTACATATAACTACACGAAATACTTTCTATACAATAAACGGCAAGGAGGAAATGAAGTTATCATTATGCTCGATGAAAATCTTCAAGGATACAACAAAACGAGACACTAGAAACGATATTTTAAAAATTGGTCCAAAGGTTTTTTTCACACAATTTGCAATCATTTCGTCCATGAAACTTTTGGTATATCGTTAAATTCGGTTAGTTCGCTCATCTGCTGATTAAACTTCTCAACTTTTTCACGATGACTTACAGCTGCTTTCTTCGCTAACCGTTCGAACTGTAAAAATGCATAACAGCAAATTCTCCAAAGCGTTTATAGTTACTGTCCTTTAGTATAGGAGAAAATAATTAAAACAGCTATTTAAAATGATTCACAAGCTAAAAAACTATAAATGATAAGGTGCAAAACTGCAGATCTGCTATAAAATGCCTTGTAATACACACTCTATCACAGTAACAGTGTAATGAACGTTTAGTAGTTTTAGATGAAAAATACAATCATATTAGTCTCCGACTATTCCGATGTGTTGACACTTAATGTTTGCACTTAACAAATATTGTAACTATGTGGTGAAGAAAGTGCTCAACTGAGTAACTTTAGAAAAAAAGCGAATTATTACATAGGTTAAGTAAATCAAGAAAACAAAATTGTCACCTGATTTTGCAACTGTCGCTTCTCAAATGCTATCTCCGCTGGTGTCTTATATGTAATTGTAGCATCGGCATCTTTATGGATAGTTATATCAATAGTCTTCAGATCAACACTTTCTCTCTTCTGGAAAATATGAATATTTCAAGTAGTCAAAAAAAGGAGCCAATGGTGAATTATCATTTGTCTTTTCTTCCCAAATCTTTAGAAAGTGAATATACTTATCCTTTCTTGCATTTTGGTATTTCAGCAATACCATCCATTCCGTTTAAAGATCCCATCCCTTACTACAACCATTTCATTTCAGAAAGAAATGATGCCTAAACTTCATGAACGATATGAATGAACCAAATTTGATAATAAAAATAAGACAATTTCAGGCTTCGATTATTGAACGACAATTAAATAATTTATCCAGTAAGCCTTCCCATAGCATTACTTGGTGGAATGTATTATTTCATGAGTAATATTATTTAAATCGATAGCAGCATCTCCTGATTACTATAATACTATTTTCATGGATATAAATTTAGAATACATTCTTAGAAAGTACCGATTGAAAGGGTATACTATTCCAGGTATGTACTGAAACGTGTCCTTTTGCAGATTTTTTAACTATAGAACATACTTTTTTCTTGAACTTTGACTTGCCCTTCTTCAATTTTAAGCCACCTCGAATCACTTCTTTGTATGGATCATTATCGCTGCTCTTGACATCATCAGTCATCTCTCAAAATACCTGAGAAAATCAATATTCCAATATTCTGAAAAAAAAAAATTATACGTTAAGGAAATGGCTTAGAGAGAGAGACCAAGAATCTAACCAATGTGAATGGTAGGATAGCCAAGTACAGCAGTGTTATTCATGTAAAATCAGCTCATCTTTCACTTACGAATTCCCTTTGCCAAAAGCAACTCCCGAGATCTAGATCCGGAATTAACACGGAGCTAACCTGAAAACAAACTAGAAACCTCACAAACCCACTAGTGTCATAAAACTATTAGCAACCTGAACACGAGCCTATTGCGTTTTGTCAAAAAAGAAATGACGTGTATGTGATATGTAAGACGTCTAATGAACGTACGTCATATGTGCGCACTGCGTCACTTGGACGTACACTACGTGTACTTACGGCAAACTTCAAATTCTTTAGTTTTCATCGCATATTTATACATTACCTGTTTATTGCAGAATCATTGGTTGTATTGTTCCGCCGGATGGATGGTTTTGTTAACCGAAATGGACAGTTGATTAGATCAGGAACAAGTTGTTACTTGTTTAAATACTTTAGCCATACAAGTTACCTTTTTCATAATATTGTGACTGTTGATAGTTATTACTTAAAGCTAGCTTGCTGTATTTATAATAAAAGTGAATGTTTGTCTTTTGACGATGAATTCATCCTTGAAAGTGTGAGTTGACTGCAAATTTTGAACGGGAGAAGCTTTCAGGAAGAAAATTTTACCCGTGATTGATTGTTAATGTTGCAAAACTGATAGGATCATAATTAAGCATCTTTGAAGGGTTTCCCTCTCG